GGGGGGCTTTTAAACTGGCTCCCTCTGACCACCGGCTCCTGCCTGCCTGCCCCCCACACTGCCTCTGTGGGAGGCTACGGGAGGGGGAGAGGGGCAGGCAGCTCCACTGAGCCAGATACCCATGCATATAGGCTCCCACCTACCTCCCCCCCACACACACTGGTGCATCTAAAAGAGAGGCAGAAGCGTGCTGAGGCAAGTGTCTCCATGGGAGCTGATATGCATGGGCAGACGGCTTGAAAGCGAGCTTCCCGCTTGTACCATCTCCCGCCTGCCCCCCTCACCCTCTGCACTGCTGCCTATCGGGGAGGGGGAGCAAACAGCTCCGTGGGATCCAGTGCTTGTGGGATGCTGGCTTAAACCACCCCCTTTTTTGTTCCCCCTTCTGAGGCCTGCATCACATAAAACCGCAGCAAGATTAGTGCTGATGGTTCTAAAGCACAGATAGGATGGACACCCTTGTTTCAGATGAAGTGGGTTTTACTCACAAAAGCTCTCGATATTATATATTTCTGTTAGTCTCTAAGGTGCCACAGGGTTACCCTTGTTTCTCTAATTTGCTGAATATAAAAGCAACACCCATCTCTGAAGCAACAGGCAAAATTATGTGGTAAGCTTCCCCCATTAAGTACCATAAAGCTAGGAATGTGTTCTTCAGTGGCTTTCAAATTTAGCCCTTCTGTAAAGTTTCTCATGCCAGATCCTCATTTCACAAAAATTATTGGTTTCCTATTGCTTTAGAGTTTTTGCTATATACAGACACGGATTGTCTGATACTCTGCAAAACTTTGGGTTGTACAGTAACTGGCAGTAGACCAGCAATTATGGCAGCACTGTTCTGCTGCAGAAAGAGAAGCAGCTTGCAGATCAAAGGAGCAGGCTGCCATCTCATCCCCTCTGAGATGCACATGCTCAGAATGTCTCTCAAGAAAGGTGGTTCAATAGGAAAGCAGCATCCCCTGTTGTCATTATGGAGAGTTTAAATAAAATGGGGGTATCTAAGGAACATCAACTAAAGGATCCTAGAGACACCAGCAGCATTTCAGAAGCTTCTGAGAATGAAATTCAAATCTCACTTCAGTAAAGAGTTGCAAATGCAAATTTATGTTAATAAAATATTCCCATTTATAATTCTCTGTTCCATTTTTCTGGGAACCATCATCATACCACCCAAACTGACTTAAGTAGTCATTATAGTTGCTACATACGCAACTCTATCACAGAGGAAACTGAGGGCTGAGCTACATTGCAGATTCAACTAAAAATGTACTTATTAGGGCTGTCAATTAATGATAGTTAACTCACGTGATTAACTAAAAAAAAATTACCCATGATGAATCACAGTTTTAATCCCACTGTTAAACAACAGAATGCCAATTCAAATTTATTACATATTTTTGGATTTTCTACTTTTCAAATATATTTATTTTAATTACAACACAGAATGCAACAAGTACAGTGCTCGCCTTATATTATTATTACAAATATTTGCACAGCAAAAATGATAAACAGAAGGAAATATTTTTCGATTCATGTCATTCAAGTATTGTACTGCAATCGCTTTATTGTGGAAGTGAAACTTACAAATGGAGAGGATTTTTTTTGTTATATAACAGCACTCAAAAACCAAAAAAAAAATGGTGATACTTGAGCTTATAAAGCCCCTCGATCCTTCTTGTTCAGCCCAAGTGTTTTTTTTTTGTTGTTGTTTTTTTTTTACAGTTACAGGAGACAATGGCGCCCACTTCTTATTTAAAGTATCACTTGAAAGTGAGAACAAGTATTCACATGGCCCTTTTTGTAGCCAGCACGGCAAGGTACTCATATGCAAGATATACTAAACATTTTGTATGACCATTCATGCTTGGCCACCATTCCAGAGGACATGTGTCCATAAAAAAAAAATTAAATTTCTGACAACTCTTTGGGGGAGAATTGTATGTCTTCTGCTCAGTTTTACCTGCTTTCTGCCATGTGTGTCATATAATAGCAGTCTCACATGATGACCTAGCACATGTTGTTCATTTTAAGAACACTTTCATTGTGAATTTGACACAATGCAAAGAAGATACCAATGGGAGATTTCTAAAGATAGCTACAGCAATACTCAACTCAAGTTTAACGATCTGAAGTGCTTTCCAACATCTGAGAGGAACCAGGTGTGGAGCATGTTTTCAGAAGTCTTAAGAGAGCCACACTCCAATATGGTATCTACAGAACCCAAGCCACCAAAAAAGAAAAAAAAAAAAATCAACCTTCTGCTAGTGACATCTGACTCAGATGATGAACATGCGTCTGTCTGCACTGTTTTTGGATCATTATCGAGAAGAATCTGTCATCAGCACATCCTCTGTAATGGTTGTTGAAGCATGAAAGGACAACTGAATCTTTAGTAGCTGACATCACAAGATGCACATCAGTGCCATGCGAGCACCTGGTCTCACATTCAGGTGACATTGTTAACAAGAAGCAGGCAGTATTATCACCTGCAAATGTAAATAGGCTTGTTTGTCTGAGCAACTGGATGAACAAGTAGGACTGAATGGACTTGTAGGCTCTGAAGTTTTACCTTATTTTGGTTTTGCATTTGCTTTTTATATACCTAATTCTACATTTGTAAGTTCAACTTTCATGACAAAGATTGCTCTACAGCACTTGTAGTGGGGGAACTGAAAAATACCATTTCTTTAGTTTTTTTTACAATGAAGCTATTTGTAACAAAAAATAAATAAATAAAATGAGCACTGTACACTTTACATTGTGTTGTAATTGAAATCAATGTATTTGAAAATGTAGAAGAAATTTACAAATATTTAAATGTTATTCTATTATTAACCACGTGATAAATCACAATTAATAACTCTAGTACTTACTAAGGATGTTAAGAGGTGGATAACTGACTAATTGTGTAGTCGATACAATTTGTATCGACTATACGATTAGTCAATAAGGGAAGGTGTTTGTCCTGGCTCGTGTTGGTCCAGGAGCTACCCCACTGCAGCTCTGCAGTTTAAATGTAGTAGGAGACGGGCACGCAGGCAGCCCAGCTCTTACTACATTAAAATGCAGCGCCGCAGCAGTCCCAGACCGGCATGATCCGGGACTGAGCCAGGCTTGCTGGTCCTGGCTCACACTGGATTCATCAGCCCTTGCCTGCAAGAGGTCCCAATGGGGAGCTGGGACCCTCCATGGACAGGGGCTGCTGCCGGCGCAGCCTCTGCCCACAGCGGGAAGAAGCCACCTTGTGGCAGGCGCCCCCACCACACCCCCCCA